CGCTTTGTTGCAGGGAAAAAGCGGGTGGAAGAACTAGACCGACACCGTTAAACACAACACACAAAGCGATGGCAGGGCAAGACAGCCAGAGGGCGTCCAGGTGGGAAAAGAAGCGAGAGCTAGAAGCGTACGCCAGGAAGACAAGGGACGAGCGGGCAGGGAGAATGAAGTAGTGGTTCTTGCCCCCTACTGGTGCACCACACTAGGCGCTCGCTTTCCTGATATCCTCACATGTCCTATTGATAAGAATTGTTTACAGAACTATGCTGGAGATATCCCCTTTGTTACCATCATCGGTAAATGTTTGCCTATTTAGAGCTACAAAATATAATCACCTCGTGAGATGGTTCGCATGCCTCGCTACATACTTCAGCTTGCAATGTGGCCAGGGACTTGCTTATAAACTCGCCATGGTTTTAAGTGCTAGCGACAGAATCTTAGCTATGGCGCTATGTTTAAGAATCTGCCTTTCCTCTCGGTGCTTTATTTTGTTTGTATACTGTTGAGAGTCGCTAAATGATGGAATATCTATTCTTTCATAGGGAAAATCTGATGCTGGGGCATAGACACGTTCACTACATTCATTTTTTTAGTTGGACTCTTTAATTCTGGCCCAAAAATTAAATAATGACATTCTCTCATTGTGGTAAGAGAATTTATTGCGCATACGCGCAATTTTTTCACGCTCCGAGTTTCAGGGCGGCGCGGGGTATCAGGTTTCAGCAATCCTAATAAAAGTTACGTAATATAACTTGTTGCGGATAGGAGAGGGTGATTCGGCTGGCCGCATTTGAAGGGGTGGTCAAGATAGAAAAGAACTTATTCCTCTAGGATCGGCCGGTTTTGGATGGCAAAGTGAAGAAGGAGGGCTGAGCGTTCGACATTTGAGCAGCAGGTAAGCTGCGGCAGGGCTGAAGATCAGTAGATTTGTAGCACTCCTGCTGGTAGGAGCGCTTTGGCCTCGATTCATCCACAATGTTTTATTGAATAAGAAGTTTTACAGACTATTTGCTGAGATGCGCCCTAGACCATATAGTGAATTGTCATCGTGTGACAAAATATAAAACTCCCGTCCGTAAAGATACTATGCGCATGCGCCGACTTTGATTCCACCGCCACCCTACTTTCTATGGTCAACCTTGGTACGTGCCCGGCGAGTCTCCACTTTCTCTTCCGTAGCCGCTCAGCTCTCGGCTTGGTCAGTGCTTCGCTCGTATGTCGGTCGTATCTCAATTCCGGCTCTTATCTCTCGCGACAGAGTGAGAAAGTGGTGGGCCCGGTGACCTTACATGCACAATCGGTCCGTGGGCTTTCTCGTGGCTTCTCTCGCAATAATAATGT